CCCCGGCCTCGCTTTCACATGCTTCTTCTGGCACAACTGCCAGATGGACGTGGATGGAGGTCGCAGGGCATTCTCCGGGGTCATGGACTTAGCGGCCAAATGACCTCTGTGTGGCGATCAACAAGAAAGTGAAGACCAGGCTCTTACTGAGGATTCCACACAGCACGATCGTGACGATGCTGATCACGGAGATCCTGGGGGGCAGGTGGGTGGGGGGGAGAGAGAGGAGATTTAACGCTGCTGCTGGCCATGACACCCTCACACTTGAGCTTTACTCCACAAAGGTTCTTCACATGCTATTTTATCAGCGTGGGGTCTCCCAGCACCTTTGCCCACACTGGCCGCCTCTGTGCTTTTAGTTTGTCCCATGGCCTGAAACTGCTGACGTAGGTTTAGTAGAGAACACGGGGCCAGGAGAGGCAGCGAGGGGAAAGGCAGGTTGGGCAAGCTCCTCTTCCTCCGCTGTGATGACTAGAGAGAGCGGCCCCAGAGCCAGGAAGCCCAGTTTCTGTTCTCACCACCAGGACCTACTTCCGCAAAACGTCCCTCGCCTCTTTGGCCTCAGTTTCCTCCTCGATCAGCCGAGAAGAATCCAATTCTTATCAAAATCCCATCATGAATTTGTAGAGATTTTTAGCAAAACTTATTCTAAACGTCCAGGGTAAATGTCATTAGATAGCACGAGAAAGGGATAGAACTGAGTGAGGAACGTGGCCCGTCTACACTCAGTAGACATGGGAAGAGATCACAGCACAAGAGCCTGCGTGACAAGCCACGGAGCCACAGGAGGAAAGGTAGCAGGAAACACTGACACCCAGAGGCAGATCTAACGTTGCCTAAGAATTTAAAATTTAAATTTGACATTTTTAAATAACTGAAAAGTCACCAGGAAATAGACTCAGGCACAAGTAAGGAATAAAACAAAGCTGTCATTTTAGAACTGGCATTTGCCTACACAAAGCTAAAAACCGAATGTACAAACCAGCAAGGTGACCAAGGACATAATGGCTCTAGAGCAGGGGTGGGCAAACTTTTTGACTCGAGGGCCACAATGGGTTCTTAAACTGGACCGGAGGGCCGGAGCAAAAGCATGGATGGAGTGCGTGTGTGAACTAATATAAATTCAAAGTAAACATCATTACATAAAAGGGTACGGTCTTTTTTTTTTTTAGTTTTATTCATATCAAACGGGCCAGATCCGGCCCGCGGGCCGTAGTTTGCCCACGGCTGCTTTAGATAGTGGGAAACAAACCTGCGGCCTCCTCATCCACCCCCTGCCTGTGAAACTGTCCTGAATCACTGGAAACGACATGTGGAAAGGGCCTGGTCGAGTTCAGACACCAGGGGAGCTGGTGGCTGGAGGGCATGGGGCAGGGGCCAGCCAGCCCAGCCAGTGCCTCTCTGGCCCTCCTCCCTGTGGCCTGGGCCTGGGTTGGAGCCCTGCTGCTGAAGGGCCCCAGCTAGGGCTCCCATGACTCCACCTCCTTCCAGTCTCTGCTGCCAGTGCCCTGCCTTATCCCCTCCCAACCTTATAACACGTTCCTTATAACGGATCTCCTATGGGGGGTCACTCTCCCAGGCCAGCACGCAGCCCTTCCGAGAGGAGACTGCACGCAGGGCAGACCTCTGCAGTGCCTGGGAGTCTGTGGGCCACCCTCACTGGGGACTGGAAATTCCGGAGCAGAAATACTCCAGCTCTCTGGCCCTGGTACAGACAGCTCTAGGTGTGACCTGTGAGTCCCCAGGACCCTCTGCAGGACTGAGCCAGAGTTCCACCCCTCTCTCCACCCCACCCACCCCTCCCGGTATTCAGCTTGGTTACCCCAGCCTTTGCCAGGCTGCCCTCTCCCTGGTCCCACTTCCCTAATGGGTTTATCTGCGGCAGCTTCCTAAATCTTCTGCACAGACTTTCCCCACAGCCTGCTTCTGGGGAGCCCACCCCCAACAGGGATTCATGTGGCTTCCTCCGAAGGGCCTCTCCCTCCGCCCCCAGACTCAGCACTGTCACCTGGGAAAATGGCTCCCTGTACTGAACTGCCTGGTTTTCAAACAGCTCGGTGGCTTCGGCTCTCCTGTCTGGACTCTGAGAAACTAGCTTATAATGAATTATAGATAAAGTGAATAGATAAAAGCGGTGCAGGTGCTGTCTCCAGTAGGAATGTGGGCAAAGGTTATGCACACTCATTAACACACTAGAAATTAAAAGTGGTGAACAAAAATGTTGGCCCTGGCCAGGGTGGCTCAGTTGGAAATTCCGGAGCAGAAATACTCCAGCAACAAAAAGCTGTGGGTTCAATGCCGGGTCAGGGCACATGCCCAGGTTGCGGGCTCAATCCCTCATTGAGGGCTCGCAGGAGGCAGCCTACTGATGTTCCACTCTCACAGTCATATTTCTCTTTCTCTCTCCCTCTTTCCAATGTTTCTCTTTCTTTCTCTCCCCCCTTCCTCTCCTCTCTCTCTCTCTCTCTCTCTCTCTCTCAAAGATCAATGAAAATATTTTTTAAAAATGGTTGACTCTCACTAGATCACTTAATTTATTTAGCTCCTAAAGATTTAATGAGCACCTACTACGTGCCAGGCGCTTAGGCTGGTGCCACTGAAACAATCCAAGAGGGAAAGGCACTACCAGCACCGAGCTCACCACCCACAGTGACAGGGACATTCCAGTTCGCACCGCTGTGGGCAGGACCGGTTCCGAAACACCAAGTCCCCGGGGCCCGCCTGCAGCCACCGCGCCCCCTGTGCCTTATGGTCACACCGCTCCCCATCTTTGGAGGAGCATTGGGCATACAGAACAGTACAAATGTTCCACTTCTCTCAACTGGAGTTTTGTTTCAATAAATGATTTCAAGAAAAGACATCTGCAAAAGTATGTCCATCTCAGTTAATACTATAAAGAAAATGGAAACAATCTCCACATCTAAAAACAAGCCAGTGATTACATAAGTTATGGTTTCCCTGTTAATACAAAAGCATCTTTCGTTGAAATTATAATTAGGAAGACTAGGTAGCAACATCAGAGAAGAGTTTTCGCACGGAAAATTAATGAAAACGTTTAGAAATATCACTGTGTTAAAATATGTACAAACAGAAATAAGCATTGGAGTTCAGCGAAGATGCCATTTCCCTGCCTCCTCTGGCTCCCCAGGAAAGCGAGGGTGAACGGGGAGATGCAGCCTCGCCAGAGCCTCCTCCTCCCTCCAGCTCCACCTCCTTCCTCCCTGGGACGTCCGAGCGGATGGAAGTGACTCAAATCTCCTGGGCTTCACCTCCCCATCCTTCACTCCCCACATCCCCTCAGGACAAGGACTGGGAATCAAAGGGCTAGGGGTCCAAGCCAGCCACCCATCCCCCGCGGAGAGACCTGGGCTCCATATTGAGGACATCTGTCCCGTGTGTGGGGTTGACTCCGAGGCCGGCAGTCGACATGGTCAGGAGCTGGGTCACAGGACTGGGGTTGATACGAGTCTTGACCCGGGCCTTGGTGGTAACAGGAGGAAGAGTGGACCCCTGAGCCAAATCCTGGGCAGGATCTGCAAGAAGACACATTGGATGGATGGATGGATGGATGAATGGATGGATGGATGGACAGACGGATGGATAGGTCATAGGGTAAATGGATCTGAGGAGGGAAATGAACTTTGACATTCATGACACAAGGTTTTCTTTTGCTAAGATTTTTTTTTAATGTGTAGGGTCAGCCTGGGTCAGAGACCGGAAAAAAAAGAAGGAAGGATGAAAGAGAATGAGAAAGGACTTTTCTGTTCCTGTCATTGGAAATGCACTTGCCTGCTACTCTTCACCAATCCATATGCCCCCACCTTCTTCCAGAATAATCCTCGATTCCTCCAGCTCTCACCATTCCCTCTGCCTTGCACTCACCTATACCTGTGGCATATTGCTTCACAAGTCATTGTTTATTAATGTATCGCATACGTTACTTGTCTTCCTTAGGCTTAGGCTTCCCCGGGTGCTGGGAACTTGAACCTGTCTCTCTTTCCTCTGCCTTCCTTAATTCATCAGATCAACATCTATTGCAGACCTACTGTGTGCCCCGCACTGCATTAACCAGACTACATGAGTTGCTGGGGATACAGACCTGAGCCAGGCACAGGCTCCTCCCTCACACTGCTCAGAGATAAATAGGGGAGACAGGTAAGTGAATGGCCACTGCTACTCAGTGAGATAGTGTTGTCCGTGAAAGGGGGTGCACAGTGAGCTCAGGAGCCTTGCTGCCCACATGAGAGCCATGGACCTTGGGGCATCAGCATCATCTCTAAGCAGATCCGAGATACAGAATCTAGGTCCCACCCTAGGCCTGTATTTGAAATAAGATCCCGGGTGATCTGTGCCCACAAGGAGGTCTAAGAAGCACTGCTTTGCACGCACACAGGAGGACCATCAAATGCACCTTTGGGAGGGGGAGAGCGGGTCTCGACTACATGAATTCTAAAGAATGAGACGAAATTATCCCAAGTCTACCACTCACCTTTCACTGTACCCCTCTTCCTATAAGAGCGCCCCAAATTAGACTCTGCAACCCAAGAGGAATCCCATACATAGAAACCCTTCCTCACTGTTGGACCAAATGACAGACCTGGAACTTCTGGGAGAAAGACAGGCTGCTGGAAACCCTGGGCCACAGCCCTGCAGGTGCCATCACCACAGCCCCCGCCCCCACCCTGCCTGGCTCTCCCGCCCCACCTCCCAGCCCCAGGCCACTCACCCTTTGTCACCACCAGGCGTATGGGATGGTGCAGCAGGACGGGGTCTTTGGGAGGCTGGTAGATCACACACTGATACAGTCCCGAGTCCTCCACTCGCAGGTCGGTCATATGGACATGCAGTATGCCTTCACTGGGGATGTCTTCTAGGGAGCACCTGTCCACGTGGACTTTGGAGCTCAGCCCGGAGACCTTGTCTGTTACTGCCAGTGTCTGGAGCTCCCCTCTGTCTCCCAGCCTCTGCCACGCCTTCCGGATGCTGAAGTACTTCCCCACATTGAAGGGACAGCTCTCACTCAGGCTCTGGCCCTCGGTCAGAGTATACTTTATCTCCTCTAATTTGGGCGCACCTTGGAGTTCTGTGAGCAGGGAATCAGAGGTAGGCTCTGTAAGTTGTCCTCTCTTTGGAAAGAAAGAGAGGAACCACCTTTTTTTCTTGTTCAACCACCCATTTTTTCAGACAAGATCCCTATGGCCTCCAGCAAAGAGGCAGCTTTCACTGTGAGTAGCTTCTGTTTGGTTGTTTGTTTTTTAACTACACCAGCTAGACTGCAGATGGTTCTTGCAAATGGTCCTTTATGAATGACTAGAGGTTCGATGCACGGAATTCGTGCAAAGGCCACTGCCACAGCAGCCGGGGACCTCTGCCGCCTCTGCCTCGGCCCTCCCGCTGCGGCTTTGTCCGGAAGGAAGGAGGAGGTCTAGAAGGACCTCCGGTCTAATTAGCATATTATGCTTTTATTATTATAGATTGTTTTTGAGAGGAAGAAATACCTGATTAAAGACAGAACATGGGACATGTGCTAAGACCATGCATGACGAGGGCATGATGGGAGGGAAAGATTATAGAGAAAGACAAACAGAGTGAAGAGTGGATGTGTGGACACTCTACTCGCAGAGATGAACTCCTCCCAACAGCTAGAGGAACTTCATCTAAGTCAGGAAAAGAGATCAGTTCGAGAAACTATTGAATAAATAGCGAGGAAACCATCTTTAGGACATGGCGGACATAGGTATCTGACTGGCTGGTATTCCTCTGCACCTTCCTTGGGTAGCAAAGCACCTCTCTCTAAGGGGACCGATCCTATGTGGCTTTAGTCCTGGCGCTGCCCACATGCTCAACGATGGCTTAGCCAATCAAAGAATCTCATCACCCTGGCCACTCTGATTGGTTTAGGAATGGGCACATGAGTGGAGCTGAGCCAATTAGAATTCTCCCTGAGACTACTGTAACTGTTGAGAAGAATGCTCTTTCTTGCTAAAGTTGATAGGTCAGTGGGATATGGAACTTCAATTACTATATTTCTACCAGGGGCAGTTTTGCCCCCCTGGGGACATTGGGCAATGCCTGGAGACATTTTGGCAGGGGCCAGAGATACTGCTAAACATCCTACAATGCACAAAACAGTCCCGTGAACAAAGAACCATCCTACCCAAAGTGTCAATAATACCAAGGTTGAGATCCCTTGGGTTCCACTGACACTAGTTTCAATCAGCAGTCCCAGCCCACGTGTGAATGGAAGCCTAGTGACTCTGTTCCCTGAACACAGAAGCTAGAAGGAGCTTTTAGTTAACCCCAAGCCTTCCCCATAGGACACGGCAAGTACACAACCCTCTTCTCCCAGTTCTCCTTTTGAAAAACATGAAATGCACTGGTTCATGAAAGCCAAACTCCATCTGCCCACCTGGATTATCACCCCTGATTCTGCTAAATTTGTGTAGCCAAGCCAGCCTGACATAACTACTGGTCAGCTCTGACTTGGGCGGTCATAGCTCCTAGATATTTAAAAGAAAAGGGAAACCTTTCTCATGCTGGGATCTCCCAGGCTCCTAGCAGAGGCCTCACCCGCTCCCTCCTCTTCCCTGCCTTACCTAAGATGAAGGACGTCCACAGCAGCCCCCAGAGCCTGGCCTTCCTCATCCTTCATGGGCACCAACTCCAACTGCCGCCGTGGCTCCTGGGACAGCTATAAGGCGACAGTATGACCCAATGGCTCCCGAAAGTTGCACAACAGGATATGATGCTGCTGCTGGGAGCTTCTGCGTCTGCTGTTTCCATCACCGGTTGCCTCAGCTCCAGACGTCAGAGACAACGCAAGAGTCCAGAACCAGAGCTCCAGTCTTAACTGAGCTTATCCAAACCCCAGTTTCCTGTTCTCTGGGGATAATGACAATGACCTTTTCAACTGTCCCATGATATTGTCTTGAGAATAATATTTTTGTGTGAACAAAAATGAGGTGTGAACATTATCAGTGGACGAGAGAGCCACCTTGCTCTCTAAGGCCCACTCTCCATCCCATCCAGTCCTCAGAAGTGAGGGGCCAGGCACACCGCGGACGGGTTGAGTCTCGATGCCGCGTTGCTAGGGGCTGTGTGAGGACTAAATGAGGTCCATGGGGAAAGTGCTCAGTGAGGTACCTCACACACAGTGTGTCTATGTCCTGTCCCTATCACCCCACCCTGTTTCCCGTGGCTTTTTTTTTTTTTAATTGATTTCAGAGAGGAAGGGAGAGGGAGTGAGAGAGATAGAAACATCAATGATTAGAGAAAATCATTGATCTATTGCCTCCTGCACACGCCTTACTGGGGATTGAGCCCACAACCTGAGCATGTGCCCTGACGGGGAATCTAACTGTGACCTCCCGGTTCATACATAGGTCAACGCTCAACTACTGAGCCACACCAGCTGGGTGAAATAAGAGATGTTCTTGAAGTATAACATGGAATAATGGGACATAAATGAGGATAAAATGTATATATTATTAAAAACTTACAGTACACCATGGCAACTATAGGTAACAATGTTTGAAAGTTGCTAAGATCTGCCCCGTTGGTGTGGCTCAGTGGTTGAGCATCGACCTATGAACCAGGAGGTCACGGTTTGATTCCCAGCCAGGGTACATGCCCAGGTTCCAGACTTGATCCCCAGTAGGGGCTTGCAGACGGCAGCCAATCAATGATTCTCTCTCATCGTTGATGTTTCTATCTCTCTCTCCTCTCTCTTCCTCTCTGAAATCAATAAAAATGCATATATTTGAAAAAATATTTAGAGATATTTATTGCCCCAGTATTGCATTAATCTAAAGTTTATTAATAATCTTACAAAATATGACTAGGTTATGATCAATAATCCACTCAATTATATGAAGAATTATTATAGAAATATTATACTTGAAAAAAGACCCAAGTGAAATGATAGCACTGATTTTCAATTTTAGATGGATTACAAAAACCAATTAATATAGATACCTATTATTTATACAATTAACACGCAATTTTTATTTTTATATGAATTACAAAAGCCAACTTATGTAGACACCATTTATACAAGGCAACTTTTAAATTTTTTATAAAATACTTAAAACAGAAACCATTAGCCTTGTATGAAAGAACTGCCATTCATTCCACAGTAACTGCACTATTATCAAATAGAAGGAACACAAAGCCACTTTTTAAAGAAAAACAGTTTTAAAAATAAGTTATAAATGTCCAAACGCAGTCTTTTGCTGTGGTTTTTTCCTTTTTTGTTGTTGGTTTTTTTTATTTTTATTCGTTTGGTTTTTGTCCCCAAGAAAAAGCAGAACCCTTAGGTCGCTAAACTGACCACTAGAGGGAGCAATATACCTGGTTTATCTTTGGACGAGCTTCTGTCATTTCTTACTCCTAATCAAGTGGGGGTGTGGGGTGTGGCATTCTAAGAGGCCGTTAGTTTTTAGACTCCTCATCCTCACTCCTCAATACTCGAAAAGTAATATCTTTTATCCTGTTAATATCTTTCACACTAAAGTAATTTAGCCTAGAATAATGTTTTAATTTTATAGCAGCTGCTATTTTTAAAGAGGGTCTACCCATGGGAGCACAAGGTTGCCTTTTGGTCTAGCTGAATCTTGGTTTACACACAGGCTTTATGTTCTAGGGAGGTCCCAGGGACAAGAGGATCCTCTTATACATGAATGTATGCCTGGCTCTCATCAGTTAGAATTAGTTGGCTAAATATAACAAAAGTCAGCCCTAACCGGTTTGGCTCAGTGGATAGAGCGTCGGCCTGCAGACTGAAGGGTCCAAGGCTCGATTCTGGTCAAGGGCATGTACCTTGGTTGCGGGCACATCCTCAGTAGGGGGTGTGCAGGAGGCAGCTGATTGATGTTTCTTCCTTATCGATGCTTCTAACTCTCTATCCCTCTCCCTTCCTCTCTGTAAGAAAATCAATAAAATATATTTAAAAAATCAGAATGGCTTACACAAAATAGTAGTTTATTATCTCTCACTAAAAAAGTTCAGAGATAGGCATTTCAGGGCTGGCGTGGTTCATCATCGGGACTTGGTTCCTACTCCCCATCCCACCATCCCAGTTCACGGCTTCCCACTTCTGTCATCGTGTGGTCCAGATGACTGCTGGAGTGCCAGCCATCCCACCGGTGCTCCAGGCAGCTAGAGAGCGCTTTCATATGCACTACCCTAGCTCCGATGGGTCCTCCCCTCCGCTCTGGGCATTAGGGCTTGGTGCCCGCCCATCCCACCCCCCCACCCCCCGTGGCTTGATGCTTGTTCTACAGAGGATGAAAGCTTCTTTCCCACTTCCTTCCTCCAGGCTCTCACCAAGGTAGATCCCCAAGCCCCAATCTTTCTCATGAGCCCCTGGAGAGGAGATTGCAAGTGGGTGTGAACACTCCTCTTGTGTCTTGGCTTCTCGGGAGTTTTGTACCGTCATGCTAGCCTGCATTGACCTTTGACAATTTGTAAAACTCTTAGCTGAGTGGTTCATGCCGACTTGTTTGGCATGCTGTGTCTCTTCCTCCCTTTCTGTGAAGAGGTGAGCCAGTGCTCAGATCTCAAGTGCACTTGGTTGCCTTACAAGTTCAGGTCTCTCGTAGGTTCAGGAAAAGTTTGCCCGGCTTTTCCTTCTCGGTCAGATGAGAGCAGAACTCACTTGAGCTTTCAAAATCCTAGGCATGCACTGAATGTGAGAGGCCGTGTGTGAAGAATGGCTGAGAAGTTTTCAGAGCAGTGGGAAGTCATCAAGCCACAAGAGCAGGTTATCATAAACCCGCCAACAGAAACAGAAAGAAACCCTCGTCTCCGCATCTTGAAAAGAAATTGCAGAACAGAGAGGAAGCAGCCATCACTTTGGAAGAACTTTGAACAGCAGACTTTTCAACTGCAATAGTGCAACCTGGAAGGTAGTAGAATAGTGTCACCGAAATGCTTAGGAAAATTAACCGTTGGACTAAAATGGTAAACCCAACAAAACTCTGCTGTGTTCCTTAGGATTAGGCTCAGCTATAAAGAATAGAAAAACTATGAATAACAGCGCTTATCATAGCTATAGTTTATTTCCATCTTGTGTGAAACCCAGAGCTAGACTGACGAAGGGGTGGGTGAGTCTGTGCTCCACAAAGTTCTCAGTCCCGGGCTTCTTCCAGCTCAATAGGCTGCCATCGCCCAATTGTCCTTATGTTCATAATCCAAGGCCACATTCACAACTTGAAAATCCCTTTTCTTCGATACTCAACTTCTCTAGCTATTCGGGAAAAGCAAATCAAAACTACAATGAGATGCCACCTCGCACCTGTTAGAATGGCTCTTATCAACAAGACAGGCAATAACAAGTGCTGGAGAGGTTGTGGAGAGAAAAGAACCCTCATTCGCTACTGGTGGGAATGGAAACTGGCACAGCCACTAGGGAAAACAGTATGCAGGCTCCTCAAAAACTTAAGAATAGAGTTACCACATGACCCAGCAACCCCTCTTCTGGGTATCTAACTGAAAAACTTGAAAACATTGGTTCATAGAGATATATGCACCCCTATGTTCATTGCAGCCTTATTCACAGTGGCCAAGACATGGAAACAACCAAAATGTCTTCAATAGATGATCAGATAAAAGGAGATGTGGTATAGATACCGCTCAGCCATAAGAAAGGATGAAATACTGCATTTGCAACAACATGAATATCATGTGAAGTGAAATAAGTCAGAAAAAGCTAAGAATCATGATTCCACTCACATGTGGGATATAAAACTGAAAGCAACAAGTGAACAAACAAAAGCTCATAGACACAGACAACAGTATGGTGGTTTCCAGAGGGAATGGGAGAGGGAGGCAGTAAAGGATAAAGGGGGTCCAACATATGCTGACAGGAGATTTGACTTGAGTGGTAGACATACAACACAGTATACAGACCATGTGTCATAGAAATGTCACTTGAAACCTATATAATCTTATTAACCAATGTCACCCCAATAAATTTCATTTAAAGAATAACAGGTACAGCCCTAGCTGGTTTGGTTCAGTGGATAGAGCATCATCCTGCGGACTAAAGGGTCCCAGGTTCGATTGCAGTCAAGGGCACATGCCCAGGTTGCGGGCTTGATCCCCAGCAGGGGGTATGCAGAAGGCAGCCAATCAATGATTCTCTCTCACCATTGATGTTTCCCTCTCCGCTCCTCTCTGAAATCAAAAAAGATATATTTTTTTAAAATAATAATAACAGGTGCAAAAATAATCCCTTTTCTTTCATGAAAATGATGGTCATAGAAAATGGAAGTAATATTTTCGTAAAATAAGAACTTGGTCTTATGAAACATATTTTATATAACATGTTTCATGAAATGCTGTTGGTCTGAGGAATCCACACTCCTGGGAGCTGTGGTTCTGTCTAAAGGAATGTCCTAGCCTTGAACTTACGTCCTGGTGGTGGTGGGAGTAGGACCAGGCCTCTCTCTCTTTCCTTTCAGATCCTAGAGCAGCGGTTCTCAACCTTCTGGCCCTCATGCTGTGATCCCAACCATAAAATTATTTTCGTTGCTACTTCATAACTGTAATGTTGCTACTGTTATGAATCGTAACGTAAATATCTGATATGCAGGATGGTCTTAGGCGACCCCTGTGAAAGGGTCGTTCGACCGCCAAAGGGGTCGCGACCCACAGGTTGAGAACCGCTGCTCTAAAGCATCTGAAAGGGTATCAAAGCTTGTCA